TTAAGATGTTTTCTTGTTCATGTTTTTGTTTTGTGTTTGTTGCGGTTGCACCAGATTCAAGAGCCGAATGGCTCACAGGGCTCCACACCTACTACATGAACTTGAACTTCTCTGCCTGCCCCCCCCCCCCCCTGCCTCTCCCTCAGCCGTGGCCCCACGGATGCTGTCGCCGCCGGACAGGCTGTACACGGCCACAGAGGGACAGGCCGCGCACTTGGACTGTGCCGTGTTTGGGTTGCCGCGTCCCAACATCCTGTGGTGAGAGCGACGCTGGCCCGGCTACTTTACTCTCTCCGTGAACTAAGCACTCTTTGTTGTTGCTGTTGTCGTTGTTGTTGTTGTTTGAATGGGGTCCTGGTTGGAGGGGGAAGAGCGCCTAGCTTAAATATACGCTGCCAAGCCTGGCGGTGTTTCATTCAGATGCTGTCTCCCCGACAGACCTGTTCTTCACCTGAGGATGGCTGCTTGCGTTGTGGCCAAAACGTCGTGAGAATTCGATTTTATTGTGTTTTATTTTTATCATTTTATTATTTCCCTTCTACGTGACTTTACCGAAAGAACCAAGAAGAAAAAATTAACCCGTGAAAACAAAGTTTTTCACTATAAATCCTTTATATGTGGGGCATCGGTTTTATTTTATTATTCATTTCTGTTTTTCTTGAGTAAGAGTTTCATTTTTATCACATTGGTATTTTAAATTAAATATAAGGAAAGTCATATATAAGGATTATAAGGTTTTCAGTTTTTGTATGATTGTTTATATTGTACATTTTTGTTATTTTCTTGAATAATTTTCTGTGTTTAGGAAAAATATACGATTGTGTTAGTGAAATAGTTTTTTCCTAAAAAGTGGAAAATTTTGGAGAAAAAATTTTCACGAAAATACATTGTCACGCACAACGAGTCTGTGTGCAAAATGTCAGCTCGATTGGATCACGGGAAGTGGGTTAAAAAACGACCGAAAGTTTTGCACGGTCGTAAGCGCGCAAGCAAGTGAACTTAATATAAAGGATTTAAAAATAGTTTCGCCGCTTACTAGTCGTCAAGGCTCCCCCCCCCTCTTTGCTTGCGCCGCGCACCGCCAGGTTCAAGGGCGACTACGCCGGACCCCTGGCGGGCGAGCGCCACCAAACCTTGGCCAACGGCACGCTGCTCATCTGGAGCGTGTCGCCTGGCGACTCGGGCACGTACACGTGCTTTGCGGTCAACAAGCTGCACCACGAGCAACTGCGGGCGCGCCTCTACGTACAAGGTCGGCAAGAGCATCGCCGGCCGGCCGGCTGCCCTCTCCGCTCCAGCACGCTCGTGCCCCCCCCCCCCCCTTCTCTCACGCATCCCCCCCTAGTGGAGCTTCTTTGCCGCCTAGAAACACTCCGACTGGTTTGCCCATCGCTCGCTGCTCTCTCCCCCCCCTCCCCCCCCCCCGTTGGTAACTGCCCCCTCCCTACAGTCGCCAGCGGCAGCAGCAGCAGCAGCAGCAGCTCGGAGCCGGGAGCCGTGCCACTGGACGGCACAGGTCTCTGGGGCTCCACCACCACCACCGCCACCACCACCGCCACCACTGCCACCACCACTACCACTGCCACCACCACTACCACTGCCACCACCACCACCACCACTGCCACCACCACCACTGCCACTACCACCGCTGCCACCACCACTGTCGCCACCACCACCGTCGCCACCACCACCGCCGTCACCACCACCATAACAGTCGCCACAAGCGCCACCACAACCACTCGGCACCACTACTACGGCATGAGGACACCGTCAGCACGCACGCCACCAGCCAGCGGCGGAGGTGCCAACGCTGATGACGGTGAGTTCCTCTCCTCCCTCCCGCCACGATCGCAGTGACGCCAAAATGTTAACTACCTCGCCCGGTACACAGGAGTTTGCGGGTTCGATCCTGACCCTGGCGATGCCCGTACGTCTGTTGTTTGCGTGTCTCTCTCCCCGCGGTCGCGTCCATTTGCTGCGCAATTAGAAGTAACATTTGTGGGAAAAGTCCACGAAGTTTTTCATTTTATGGGAACAGCTTCAACGCAGCCAGTTGGATCGCTGTGCACAAGATGGCGGCGATGGCTTGTCACGTCCCCGGGGGGGTCCGCGTATCAGCCAGATCGACGGCGGCCGCCGGTCACGGAAGACGCATCAATCCCACGGGGTCGGCAGTGACCTCGGTGCGGTGCCAGTGTTTTTATCGTCCACGAAGAGTCGTCGCTTGTGGCCGTGCGACTCTCGTGACCCCCCCCCCCCCCCCCAGGCCGCTCCTCGTCAGAAGATGAGTCGCTCGACACGACGACTAAGAGCCCCTTCGTCAGCGCCGCGATCGCCGCGATCGCCGCGGTGGCCGCGATGGTGCCGCTGACCGTCGTGGTGTGCGCCGCGTGCCGGGCCAGGAGACGGAAGCAGACACACCACACAGAGACCCATAGACTCATCACACAGAGACCCATAGACTCACCACACAGAGACCCATAGACTCACACACAGAGACCCATAGACTCACCACACAGAGACCAATAGACTCATCACACAGACCCACAGACTCACACACAGAGACCCTTAGACTCACCACACAGAGACCCACAGACTCACTCACACAGAGACCCATAGACTCACTCACACAGAGACCCATAGACTCACTCACACAGAGACCCATAGACTCACTCACACAGAGACCCATAGACTCACTCACACAGAGACCCATAGACTCACTCACACAGAGACCCATAAACTCACTCACACAGAGACCCATAGACTCACTCACACAGAGACCCATAGACTCACTCACACAGAGACCCATAGACTCACTCACACAGAGACCCATAGACTCACTCACACAGAGACCCATAGACTCACTCACACAAAGACCCATAGACTCACCACACAGAGACCCATAGACTCATCACACAGAGACCCATAGACTCACCACACAGAGACCCATAGACTCACACACAGAGACCCATAGACTCACCACACAGAGACCCATATACTCATCACACAGACCCACAGACTCACACACAGAGACCCTTAGACTCACCACACAGAGACCCACAGACTCACCACACAGAGACCCACAGACTCACCACACTGACCCACAGACTCATCACACAGAGACCCATAGACTCATCACACAGAGACCCACAGACTCACCACACAGAGAGACCCACAGACTCACCACACAGAGACCCACAGACTCACCACACAGAGACCCACAGACTCACCACACAGAGACCCACAGACTCACCACACTGACCCATACAGGTGTAATACGTGTCTCCGACACGCTAAGAACTCAAGTCGTTTATTAATAAATCTTTGGCACAGCTGGTTGTCTCTCTCTCTCTCACTACGGAGTGATGATCGCCGCCCCGCACCAGGGACTACTTTTAGGCCGAGTTGACCTTGGGAGGCCCACGACCGGTTCAGATAATAGTCAACTGTTTTTGGCCGTAAAATAAAAAATGAAAATAAAAAAATAATAGAAATAATATAAATAAAATAATAAATCACGACGTTTCGGGGGCAACACAAGCTGCCTTCGTCAGGTGTAAAAAGGCAGCAAAGTAACTGCACGTCGTGATTAATAATGTTATTTATTAATAATAATTTCATATATTTCTTATTATTTTTCTCTACAGTAGTCTATGGGTTCTTTCGGCTAAGTCACGTCTAAAGATAAAATAAGAAATAAAATAATTTAGTATTTAATAAATTAAATAAATTTTTAATTTATCTTCAGACGTGACTTAACCGAAAGATAAAATAATGAAATAAATTTTTTTAAAATTATTATTTTACCTTTAGGCGTGACTTAACCGAAAGATTAAGTAATAAAATAAATATTTTATTAATTAAAACATTTATTTTATCTTTAGACGTGACTTAACCGAAAGATAAAATAATAAAATTAATAAATCATTATTTTATAAATTAAATAACTTATTATTTTATCTTTAGACGTGACTTAACCGAAAGAACCAAAGAATAATTCCTGCAGTCACGAAAGCTCCAAAATTAAGATTAGTCTATGGGTCTCTGTGACCCCCCCCCCCCCCCGTGCGGATCGTGAATCGAGGTCAGAATCGACCGACGGCTTGCAATCGAAGTCGATTCTAACGTTATCGCATGGAGGAATCGATTGCTCTCGATCCACGGATCGATCCGACGCCATCACCGAGAACCAAATCGCAATGGAGGGAGACGCCATCAGCTCCCAGCGAGTCGCGAAGTTGCCACCTCCTCCACCTCCTCCACCACCTCCTCCACCTCCTCCACCACCTCCTCCACCTCAATTGCCTCGCGACATCAACGACCCTCCCACAGCAGCAGCGGAATCAGCAACAACGACGTCAATTCCCGCCACTGAGGCCTACACCGCCATGCAGCCTGCGGCCTCTGCCCAAGCCGCGTCGCATTCTGCGGGGGAGATTCAGGCGAGGGTCGGTGGCGGCGAGGAGGAGGAGGAGGAAGATGATGAAGCGATGGAGCTGCTGACCGTCATGACCGTCGATCTAATCACCGGCTACGTAGCTCACCTGACGCAACAGCCGGAGCAGCGGCGGCAGCTCCACAAGCAGCAGCAGGAGCTGCAGCAGGAGCAGCAGCAGCCTGTGCATCAGCGGCTGCAGCAGCAGCGGCAGCTTCAGGAGGTGCAGGAGCAGCTCCCGGAGTTGCAGCGACATCTCGAGCTGGTGCAGCAGCAGCAGCGGCAGCGGGCGGAGACGCTCTGGCAGCAGCAGCTCCAGCACATGCAGCAGGTGCAGCAGCAGCTCCAGCAGGTGCAGCGGCAACAGGAGCTTGTGCAGCAGGTGCAGGAGCAGCTCCAGAAGGTGCAGCGGCAACAGGAGCTTGTGCAACAGCTGCAGGAGCAGCAGCAGGTGCAGCAGCAGCAGGAGCTTGTGCAGCAGCTGCAGCAGCAGGAGCAGCAGGAGCAGCTGCAGCAGCTGCTCCTGCTGCTGCAGGAAGTGCAGCAGCAGCAGGAGCAGCAGCTGATGCTTCGGTTCGAGCAGCTGCAGCTAATGCAACAGGAGCATCTGGAGCAGTCGCAGCAGTTCGAGGACCTTCAGGAGCTGCGGCGGCAAGTGCGGCAACTCCAGCGGCAGGTGCGGGAGGCCGGGGCGCAGCTGCAGACCTCCCAGCGGCTGCTGCGGCTGCGTGCGGAGCGGCTGCAGGAGGCGTTCGACACCCGAGGAGACGCGTTGCTGGCAGAGTTCGAAGCCTCCATCCCGGACTTTGTGAGCGGCGCGGAGCGGCTGGCGAAGCGAGTGGAGCCGCGCCGGCTGGTCATGACCATGGCCTGGAAGGTTCTCAACGGAGCGCCCCTGAGCTGGGACGGCGTCCTGTCCGCGGTGGTGTACTGCGCGCTGCTCGTCAAGAGCCTCGGGGCCTGCGGGCGGCTGGGAGACTCGGAGAAGACGCGGCCCCTGACGGACCTGGTGGCCGCTGTGCTGCTGGCCGAACGCAGGAGCTGGCTCATGGAGCACGGAGGCTGGGTGAGCGGTTACACACCGCCACCACCAACACCACCGCCACCATCAACACCACTACCACCACCAACACCACCGCCACCACCAACACTACTACCACCACCAACACCACTACCGTCGCCACCACCACCACCGCTACCGTCGCCACCACCAACACCACCACCAACACCACTACCGTCGCCACCATCAACACCACCACCAACACCACTACCAACACCACTACCAACACCACTAACACCACTACCATTGCCACCGCCACTACCATCGCCACGACCACTACCGTCGCCACCGCAACCACTAACACCACCGCCACCACTAACACCACCAACGCCACTACCACCAACACCACTACCGTCGCCAACACCACTACCGTCGCCAACACCACCACCACTACCGTCGCCACCGCCACCACCAATGCCACTACCACCACCAACATCAACACCACCACCAACACCACTACCGTCGCCACCACCAACACCACCACCAACACCACTACCACCACCAACACCACCACCAACACCACTACCACCACCAACACCACTACCACCACCAACACCACTACCGTCGCCACCACCAACACCACCACTAACACCAACACCACTACCGTCGCCACTGCCACCACTAACACCACTAGCCAGCCACTCACAGGGGGTGTCTTCTTCCCATATTTGAGGCGCCTCAGCAGGGTCATCCCCACTTTGTCCCATGATGTTTTCCAGGCTGAGGGATTTCCCCTCTCCCAGGTCCTCACAGAAATGCTCAGCAAATCTGCAAACCTGTTCCTGGGGGTCGGAGATTGGATCACCGTTCTTTCCCCTAAGGATGGTAATAGGTGTGGCGCTGCAGGTTACTTTTTTGATGGGATTAAAGAGCGATTTGTGATCATGGGCCATTGAGGCAGACTCCATCTCCTCAGCAACACACGACCACCAACCATCCTTGCAGCGCCTCACGGCTCTCCGAACCTCCGAGCGAAGGCTGCGCTAAGCCTCATTCTCTGACAGTGGGATGCTGTAGAGTCTACAGCATCCCACTGTCAGAGAATGAGGCTACAGTCTACAGTGTAGACGATGAGAGTGAGCCTGTCGCTTTTTCTCAACCAGCATGAACACCTACTCTGTCAGCCAGGGTCTCTGGGGAGGTCTGGACGGTGTACCCAAAGCAGCCATTGCAGCTGCATGAGCCACAGTCCTAAACCTCGCCCATTTCCCCTCGACATCAGGAGTGGGGGATGATGCAAACCCCAGCCACAAGCGATGATGCAATTCTCGCTTACGACTTTCATCAGCTAGCTGAGACCAGGCCACTATGGGTTTGAATGGGGTCCTGGGTGTACACCCACCACCGGAGTGGGAGAATGGCAGACACATCTTACAGATGACAAATGGGCAGTGTCTCATTACCCAGTGTCTCACTACCCAGTGTCTCACCACCCAGTGTCTCACCACCCAGTGTCTCTCTACCCAGTGTCTCACTACCCAATGTCTCACTACCCAGTGTCTCTCTACCCAGTGTCTCACTACCCATTGTCTCACTACCCAGTGTCTCTCTATCCAGTGTCTCACTACCCAGTGTCTCTCTACCCAGTGTCTCACCACCCAGTGTCTCTCTACCCAGTGTCTCACTACCCAGTGTCCCACTACCCAGTGACTCACTACCCAGTGTCTCACTACCCAGTGTCTCTCTACCCAGTGTCTCACTACCCAGTGTCTCACTACCCAGTGTCTCACTACCCAGTGTCTCTCTACCCAGTGTCTCACCACCCAGTGTCTCTCTACCCAGTGTCTCACTACCCAGTGTCTCACTACCCAGTGTCTCACTACCCAGTGTCTCTCTACCAAGTGTCTCACTACCCATTGTCTCACCACCCAGTGTCTCTCTACCCAGTGCCTCGCTACCCAGTGTCCCACTACCCAGTGACTCACTACCCAGTGTCTCACTACCCAGTGTCTCACCACCCAGTGTCTCACTACCCAGTGTCTCACTACCCAGTGTCTCACCACCCAGTGTCTCACTAGCAGTGTCTCACCACCCAGTGTCTCACTACCCAGTGTCTCACCACCCAGTGTCTCACTACCCAATGTCTCACTACCCAGTGTCTCTCTACCCAGTGTCTCTCTACCCAGTGTCTCACCACCCAGTGTCTCTCTACCCAGTGTCTCTCTACCCAGTGTCTCACTACCCATTGTCTCACTACCCAGTGTCTCTCTATCCAGTGTCTCGCTACCCAGTGTCCCACTACCCAGTGACTCACTACCCAGTGTCTCACTACCCAGTGTCTCACTACCCAGTGTCTCACTACCCAGTGTCTCACCACCCAGTGTCTCACTACCCAGTGTCTCACCACCCAGTGTCTCACTACCCAGTGTCTCACCACCCAGTGTCTCACTACCCAATGTCTCACTACCCAGTGTCTCTCTACCCAGTGTCTCTCTACCCAGTGTCTCACCACCCAGTGTCTCTCTACCCAGTGTCTCACTATCCAGTGTCTCACTACCCAGTGTCTCACTACCCAGTGTCTCACTACCCAGTGACTCACCACCCAGTGTCTCACCACCCAGTGTCTCTCTACCCAGTGTCTCACTACCCAGTGTCTCACTACCCAGTGTCTCTCTACCCAGTGTCTCACTACCCAGTGTCTCTCTACCCAGTGTCTCACTACCCAGTGTCTCACTACTCAGTATCTCACTACCCAGTGTCTCACTACCCAGTGTCTCTCTATCCAGTGTCTCACTACCCAGTGTCTCACTACCCAGTGTCTCACTACCCAGTGTCTCTCTACCCAGTGTCTCACTACCCAGTGTCTCACTACCCAGTGTCTCTCTACCCAGTGTCTCACTACCCAGTGTCTCACTACCCAGTGTCTCACCACCCAGTGTCTCACTACCCAGTGTCTCACTACCCAGTGTCTCACTACCCAGTGTCTCACTACCCAGTGTCTCACTACCCAGTGACTCACCTGTGTGATGATGATGGTGGTGATGGTGGTGGTGATGATGATGATGATGGTGGTGGTGATGATGATGATGGTGGTGGTGATGATGATGGTGGTGGTGGTGATGGTGGTGGTGGTGATGATGATGATGGTGGTGGTGGTGATGGTGGTGATGGTGGTGGTGATGGTGGTGGTGGTGATGGTGGTGGTGGTGATGATGGTGGTGGTGATGGTGGTGATGATGATGGTGGTGGTGATGGTGGTGATGATGATGGTGATGATGGTGGTGGTGGTGGTGATGATGATGGTGATGATGATGATGGTGATGATGATGATGGTGATGATGATGGTGGTGATGATGATGGTGATGATGATGGTGGTGATGATGATGGTGGTGGTGATGGTGGTGATGATGGTGGTGGTGATGGTGGTGATGATGATGGTGATGATGATGGTGGTGATGATGATGGTGGTGGTGATGGTGGTGATGATGGTGGTGGTGATGGTGGTGGTGATGATGATGGTGATGATGATGATGGTGATGATGATGGTGATGATTATGGTGATGATGATAATGATGATGGTGGTGATGGTGGTGATGATGATGATGGTGGGGCTCCGTTCTGTTTCTCCTCCTTGGTGCTGCCACACAGGAGGGTTTCCTGCGAGCGCTCGAGCCGGGGACTCCCACCTAGGAGAGGAGCCACAGACGTCGAGCTCCGACGGGCAGCGGCAGTGGAGACGAGTAGAGAGAGAGGAGAGAGTGAGGAGAGAGTGAGGGGAGAGAGTGAGGAGAGAGACAGAGTGAGGAGAGAAAGTGAGGGGAGAGAGTGAGGGGAGAGAGTGAGGAGAGAGAGGAGAGAGACAGAGAGAGGAGAGAGACAGAGTGAGGAGAGAGGGGAGAGAGAGAGGAGAGAGTGAGGAGAGAGAGAAAGTGAGGAGAGAGAGTGAGGAGTGAGAGAAAGCGCATCGTAATTTCTGAATCGTGATGTAAACATTTTAAACTTGAGGGAATTCATGTCTTGGCAGTGGCAATGAGAGATGCAAACATTGAAATGGTTCGGGGCTTGAATCGGATGAAAATTCAGAGGCGTTAAAACGTGCAAACTACCAACTGAAATGTTCATTATTTTAAAGAAATTCCACAAGAACAATTGTCGTGGGGTACGTGTTGCTGTGTGCGTTTACACAATTTGACTTGAAGTCTTCCCGCAGAAATCTGCTTACACAGAAACAAAACATACAGCCAAGGAATTGTGGTGACGTGTTGTTTTAAATTGTCTGAATTTTTGTAAAACACTCACTACCCAGTAGTTTTGATCGTTGATGAATAATGTTTGTGTGTTTAGCGTTACCGACATAAAGTGCGTGCAAGTAAGTCGTGATTTTTAAACGTAATCTTCACTTATCATGGAACACAAATCTGAGTAGTAGTATCATGGCATGGAGCTGTGTGAACATACAGCTGGATACTCGCAGTCACCTCAACAACAAGTCATTCTCATGTTCTGAGAAAAGGATTATTTGAAACTCTTAGTTTTTTTCGGGAAAAAACAAGTTTTAATAAGTCATATAAATAATAAACATAAAATAATAATTTTATTTAATTATAATTTCTAAGCCACGCAGGAAAACATTAAAAATGATAAATACCGTTGAGTGTTGACTGAGTGATTGATGTGAAACTCTCTGCAATAAATGTGACTTGTTGCGTCTCTTAAAACATCTGTGCTGTTCTCTCGCCGCCGTGCTGCAGGAACAATGTTCCTGGAGGATTGCTGCTTTTGTTTAAATCCACGTTTGACGTGACACCCGTAGTGAGTCCAACTGGGTCACAGACGTAGTGGGAGCAACGCTGCTTCACCAACTCAACACGAGCTGCACTTGGGGTGTTCAATGCCCATCTACCCCACGCTACGCAGAGGTCGCAACCGGGTACCCCATACCCGTACTCTACCCCATACCCGTACTCTACCTGATACCCTACCTGATACCCGTACCCTACCTGATACCCGTACTCTACCTGATACCCGTACCCTACCTGATACCCGTACCCTACCTGATACCCGTACCCTACCTGATACCCGTACCCTACCCGATACCCGTACCCTACCCGATACCCGTACCCTACCTGATACCCGTACCCTACCTGATACCCGTACCCTACCTGATACCCGTACCCTACCTGATACCCGTACCCTACCTGATACCCGTACCCTACCCCATACCTGTACCCTACCCGATACCCGTACCCTACCCGATACCCGTACTCTACCCCATACCCGTACCCTACCTGATACCCGTACCCTACCTGATACCCGTACTCTACCCCATACCCGTACCCTACCTGATACCCGTACTCTACCCCATACCCGTACTCTACCCCATACCCGTACTCTACCTGATACCCGTACCCTACCTGATACCCGTACCCTACCTGATACCCGTGTAGGGCTGTTATCGAGGGGCTGTTTGTACATAGGATCAAACGGCGAACAAACACAGTGGGCGGAGCTCCGGGAGTACACGGGGGGGGGGTGCCCGCAACGACGTCCGCATCGGGCAGCCTGGGGGTAGGGCTGCCCGGGGTTGTGATCCGGGGGGGGATATAAAAGGGGATGACAGAGAGAGCTCGGGGCTCAGTATTAGAACAAAGGAGGGAAGATTGAAGACCTGGGTAGCTAGAGCCCTGGACTCCCCTGAGACGCCGCCCTTGTCAGGGCCGCGCAGGACCGAGCCAGCGGCGTGGTTCCGTGAACCAGAGTCAGCACTCTGGGACTCCGGGTACCGTAGCCCGACTCACCAGTGTCGGGCCAGACAGCCTCCCCTAGCCCATTAGTGGAGGACTCGGGGTAGGTCAGGGATAGCTAGCGGTGTATCCCCAATATACGGGTGAGGGGGCCGATACCCCCTCTAGTACTGTCCTGTCGTGACGACTTGTAAAATAAATACACGTGTGCCTCAACCTCGGTGTCAAGCGTCCTCACCGGTACTTCACCCGTACCCGTACTCTACCCCATACCCGTACTCTACCCCATACCCGTACCCTACCTGATACCCGTACCCTACCTGATACCCGTACTCTACCTGATACCCGTACTCTACCCGATACCCGTACCTTACCCGATACCCGTATCCTACCCGATACCCGGCTACCCGTACCCGATACCTGTACCCTACCCGATACCCGTATCCTACCCGATACCCGTACCCTACCCGATACCCGGCTACCCGTACCCGATACCCGTACCCTACCCGATACCTGTATCCTACCCGATACCCGTACCCTACCCGATACCC